TTGATTGCTGTCATTGAAATCAGAACTCAGTATGGCTGATGATTTATGAGATTGGATTGTTACACAATGAGAGGAAATTTATTCTTTTACTTGCTTCTGTGTAAAGTATTTATCTCAGCTCTTATTTCCGATTGTAGAACCATTCTTTGATCGACCCGTGAAGGTCCGGGTTGGAATGAATCTTCAGTAACCCATGCTTGTCGTAAGAGGCGACTAACGGGATCGGGTGGTCAGGCATGCTGGCTTGGTTGACACATGTCATCGGTTCCCAACTGCGCAGGTCGATGCTCCTACTGTTGATCACTGGATTGTCTGGTCCAGACTCGATTATTTACAGACTACCGCCATATAGTTGGAATATTGCTGAGTGCGGCGTAAAACTAAACTCACTCATTCTTTGATCATGTTGACGTGAGGAATATCTAAATGTTACCAAGAGTTATTTCCCTTCATCAGTCTGATGGTAGTTTGGAGTTGGTCAATTTCACATAAACTTTGTCATATTTTACATGTTTGACAAGGTTTATATTTGTTATATTTTGAATTATAAAAGTCTTGATCTCTTTAACACACCAAGCTAAGATTGACTAAAGGAGGCCTTGGTGATTATCTGTCCTTTGTGAAAGAAAGAGCAGACAGCACCTGGCACATGACTGATAATTAATCTATATTTAATTTTTTTTGTGTCAAAGCATGAGTATGCATTCTGAAGATTAATGGCGGAAACTACTTGATTTATCTGTCCTAGTGAATTTTGTATTTAACATTTTTGTCATGTTGATAGTCACTTTCACTTCAGTCATGACTGCATATTGTATCCATTAATTTATAATCTTTTAAACGTAGATGTCAGACAGTTCAGATGATTTAAACTGTGTAAACTTATTTTAGTTATGAGCTTTTGTCGCTTTTAAGTCTAATTGTAAACCAATAAATGTGAAATGTGGTGTTAGTTTATCTTTCTGGTAAACAGGTAGGTCCTTGCTTGCAGGTAGATGTGGCATTAAACTGAATTGTTTTAATCTCCATTGCTGTAATAAGTGGATGCAACGGATATTTTGTGATGAGATGTCTCTGGCATATATATTTCTCACCTTTCTGCACTGTGGTAAATATGTGTTTACATTCTTGATATACATCTGTTGTCAGCAAATGTTTATTTATCTTGTCCATTTTGAGTCTTTTATTCAGTGATATATATTTATTTTCTTCCTTGAGTGCTAAGAAGTTAGGCCATGATCATCTTCTGTGTAGATTGGCTTGTTGAGACTCGTGACATGTGGTGTGTGGTATGTGATGATTTTGTGAACATGCTATTTCCAGTGCTGTTGTAATAAATATTTTCACATAAAGCTGGTTCCTTGTTAGCTCATTTCAAGAGGTTGCAGTATGGGGTGGTTGGGTAGCCTAGTGGTTAAAGCATTCACTCGTCATGCAGAAGACCCGGGTTTGATTCCCCACATGGGTACAATGTGTGAAGCTCATTTCTGGTGCCTCCCGCCATGATGTTACTGGTATATTCCTAAAAGCCACGTAAAAACACTCTCACTCACTCACTCTCAGGCAGTACAATCACGGAGTTGTGAACCCATTAAGATTCACAAAAATGTATCATGGTCTCTTGGTACACAGGTGACCTCCTGGTGATGGGGAATGGATGGGTAGAATAGTGGTTAAAGTGTTTGCTTGTTACGCTAAAGACTCGGGTTCGATTCCCCACATGGGCACGATGTGTGATATTGCTGGAATAAAACCATACTCGCACACTCCAGGTGAGGGAATTGGGTGGCTTCAGTGTGTATGAGGCTGACTTGGAATCTTGGAATTCAGGTGACCTGATTGGTTCATTGCCTTTATGAAACAACACCTCTCCTGTCCACCATCAGAGAAGAGATATATCTTCTGTGTCATAGTTTGCTGCCCAACACCACCATTTTGTGTAACCTTTTACCATGTCCCTCTTCCCCTACCTCCTCTCAAAGACATAATGACATGCAACTTTTTCACGTCCACATTTGCCTACCCCACTCCTCAAAGACATAATGACATGCAACTTTTCCACGTCCACTTTTAGCTAACCCCCTCCTCAAAGACATAATGACATGCAAGTTTTTCAAGTCCACTTTTACCTACCCCAACTCTCTCCGCCACCCCCAAAGACAATGGCATTATGTCCCTCTTCACCCACCCCAAAGAACAAAGTATTACCACCCAACGCCAGGCCATTCCCACCCTACACCTCCACACAGGCGTAAATGACCAATCCTAAAACAATGTTCAAATTTAAAACTGTTATATTTGTAAAAGTAGAACATACATGTATGTTTAAAATAACCTTATCAAAACAAGTTTGTTTAAATATTTTAGGTGCCAGGGCTTTTTTCAATGAATATTAGCCATGGTGTAAACAGATGAGAGCTCTCCGACCCTGACCTTTTTAGTAAGCCTTCAAATGAATACGTTCGATGGCATTTCAGATAACAATGGTAACTATTAATCAACAGGTGCTCGCGCTCTGACCATATTCACACAATGGTTGTTTTGTGATGGGTAAACTGCTGATTGTTACGATGATAGTATTATCAGACATGACTCAGCTCATGCACTTAACCTCCACTGTCATGTCAAATGATAAGCCTGTATTTGGTAGTCAAACTGACATGCAGAAAAAAACATTAACAGAAATATATAAATCCCTAAAGGCTGGTATGAGTATTACAAAAAAAAGTTGTTAATTTTCCAAATAGTTTCCTTTTTTTTATGCCTCGGCATATATGTCTGGGGGCATATAGGGTTACCCTCCGTGTCCGTCCGTCCATCTGTATGAAACAGGGAATGTACTCTATCCACTTCACAAAAAACACTTTGTGGAATTCAATGAACTTATACATGGGCTTTCTTTGGACTCTAATTGTGTGCATCTCATATTTTGTTTTTGTATTTTATTGGTTTTTTTGTAAGTTTAGAGACATTTGAACTTAGGTACATTTTGCTGAATTTCTCTATGATGATAGTGTAATAGGGGATGAAGTCTATCCACTTCTCCACAAAAGCTGCTGAACAGAATTGATTGAGCTTCTACGTCATGAGACGCTAAAGGTGTGCATCTCATACCTTGTTCATCCAATTTCTTAATTTTGTCACTTCTACAGATGTTTGAACTTAGTTGAATTTGGTTTTATTCATCCTGTTCGTCCCATACAACAGGGGGTGTACTTTATCCACTTCTCCTCAAAAACCACTGCACAAAACTCATTTAGCTTACATGTGTCTTTTATGGAGACTCTAAAGGTGTGCATCTCATATTTTGTTTTTGTATTTTATAGTTTTTGTATGTAGAGACATTTGAACTTAGATCAATTTTGTTGAATTTCTCTCTGATGATAGTGAAATAGGGGATTAAGTATATCCACTTCTCCACAAAAACTGCTCAACAGAATTGATTAAGCTTATACATGTGTTTCATTGGGACTCGAAAGGTGTGCATCTCATAGTTGCATAGATGTTTATTGAACTTGTTCGTGAATTTTGTTCAATTATTGATCTTTATATGTCTTATGAATGTCAGCGGGGCATCCGTGTCCCTGGACACAATGTTTTCTTGTTGTTTATTGATTTAGTAAATCATATAGTGTCATTTCAATTTCAAGTCCAAAAAAGAGCCTGCTATTATATTACATCTCATTAAAATCAGATCGTAGTATCAAGCGCTTATACTTTAATGAAGAAATATTTATTTTAAGAAACTACTTCGTACTTGTAACTAAAACGTGTATATATGTGTGCACAGGGGCTTGTAACGCTACAAACTGCCATCAAGGTATGTACTGTCACTAAAAGGATCCTTTCATATAGTGCTGAGACCCCATTAGTGACAGTTTTGATGGCAGTTTTTAGCGTTACAAGCCCCTGTGTATGTGTGCTGACTTGGACTCGTCGCTATATCGCTGAAACAAGGCCTAAGCGATGTAAAACTCTCACTCGCTCACTCGTTGACATTTGCCCTTGGATTTGTCTACGGAGCCGTATCCTGCCCGTATCCCCTTTTCCGTGCCGGGACCGGAAGCGGCCGTGCGGTTTTCTTACGGATTCACGGGCTCCGCGGCCTCTTCGATTTTTTTCGCTTAGTAATTTTTTTAAATCGTCAGCCCGCTGGCCGTAAACATGTTGTAGGTGGCATTACGCAATCCCAGCAAGGGCATCGCACCGAGGCCTCGCGTGATCGCGTGATCACAGATTTTTTCTGTGGACATGGGGGCAAAAACAATATCGTACAGAGATTGTGGACGGCCATCGCACAGCTATCGCAATGTTGCAAATGTAATTTTAGCATAGGGATCAATTACATCTGATTTTAATGAGATTTAAGCGTCACTGGTTATTTATATTTGTAGCGGGGAGTGTGAGGAAAAGTCATTACTTTCATGTAGTTTGGTCACGTCGTTACTTTCGAGCTTCCATTAGTGTGATAATAACAAAACTCCCGGACAGTCAGTATGAGAAACGTTGTCCCCATTTTATCAATGTGTAATTAGGTAAAAACGCTTTAGGTAAGGGACATAACTCAGTGAAAAATTAAATCAAAACACCAATTTTCGACCTGAATTTAATCATGGCTAGTTACGCCAGTGTGTAAAATTTCAGTTTTAGAACTTAAATAGTTTTTGAAAAAAATCTTCAGCATTAAAAAAACGGGCTGACGAAATCCGTTCTTATATTCCTCGCGGGGCTAATACTGCTGGCTGCGTATTTTGATTATGTGTCAGCTTGCTGACGAGGTTAACTCCTTTGGTCATGTGGACAAGGCGTCCGACTTCGGATCAGAAGGTCCGTGGTTCTAATCCCAACACGGGATTTTATGGTCGCTACATTTACTTTAGAGAATACCGAAACTTGAAAATCCAACCGTGCAACGATTATCATGTTTGTTTAATTTACGGATTCAGTAAAGTTTCTAAGGTGGCTACATACACTTCTTAAAAGAAGTAACAGAACTATTGTAACAATCAAATGTTGTATTATGAGTAATGCACAACACTACCTGTATAATGACCAGAAAGCATCCAACTGATATTTAATTCTCGAAGGATAACTCTTGGTAAATGGACCGTTTATGATTTTTATGAAGATGAACGTCACAAAACCACAACAAATGTGTGTTCACAAAAGAGATGTTCATGGTGTTCATTCCAATCACATCCTATCATATTCCTACCAAAATGGAGTACAGCAACTCCAGCGGCCGTAAAATCCACAAATCAAGCCTTGAGTAAATGATTTACTAGCAAGGGTCGACAATGTGAAAGAGATTAAATATGTTGACAAAAACAAACATGGCGACGCCACCAATGGCGGAGCCAACTTGTGTTGCTACTCCGCAGTGAAGCAGGCCTTTCTTGCCTTCCACCCTGAAGAGCGACGCCAGTGACACCTTGACGTAGGTGAGGATGAAGATGCAGACCACCCACACTGACACCTGGAACAGAAGGAAGGGAAGATAATGTGATTCAGGGACTGTGGAACAGACAACATTGCACGGAGGGCTAGGCAGTACGGAAGATAATGTGGTTTAGGGACTGAGACAGACTAATGCTTTTGATATATCGGTACTAAAGTTTCTCATCAATGACACCCATGTACAGAGGAGACATAGGTTGGGAAAAATGAAATAATTGTGATTGCTAATTGGCTCAAGACTATTGTCCATTGTCATTGTCGACTTTGATTAAAGGCTTTGCAAACTATACGACAGGGGACACCCGTGAAGGCATTAGATGCTATTACAGTGATAAGGTATTCTAAGGTGTTCCTGATGCACGTGAAACACTTACTTGAACATGATACGAAGGAAGGAGATGTACAGTTTGAAGTAATTACGATGCATGATGCGTTTTGTTTTCAAAACAAATCTAGATACAGATACAGATTCACCAAACACTATTGAAATGCATATGTTACACCACACAAACACACACTGTTATATCTTACAATCAAGATTGATCCAGCCAATGTTCCTACAAGAACTGGAACCGGACTCATAACAGCAGCCGCCATGATGTACGCCCCGAAAAGAGATCCCAGCAGAGTCAGGAGGTCAGCGCAGGAACGGTAGTGACATGGACGAAAAGGTCAAAGAAACACGCCAATGGACTGGCTAGGTTTGCGAGAGTTACAGCCAGATGGTACTGGGTTACACCGTAGGGTAGACAAGAGTAGGACTGAACTGCCAGCAGCGCCGAGTTCTTCAAACAGTTCACCCAACCTGAAAATAAAGGGATCGTCAGACATTGATAAATATATCCCTCTGACAGTCTATGGAAGAGAAGACACACACTGCTTGAAAAGTGTACTGGACAAAATTTCTTCCTCAAAGAGTTTATAAAGCCTGCAAATGAAGAATGAAAGTGTACGTTGCGAGCCCCAATTTCCAAGCACACGAAACATTCACAAAACACGTGAAAAGCATACAGCTAAATCAGCTGATGGACGTGTATAACGGTAGCCTTTTCGCAAACACCCAGTATAATCACTGTTTGATAGTGATTCTTTTGATGTCACTGGATTGTCTGGTTCAGACTTTTTACAGACCGTTGTCAAATAGATTGCAGAATGTGGCGTTAGACATGCAAACAAACAAATGCTCATAATATAGTCGACTTTGTTTATAGCAGAGATTTCTTATGGATGAGGAAGGGTTGGTATTGCCTTTATGTAGGTTCATTGCCTTGTCAAAACCATGTAACTTTGCCCTGTGTCTCGCCTTCTCGCCTGTAATACCGCCCGTCGTCATGACACTGCCGCCCCTTTGCTGATCACATTCAAGAATTGGTGTCCTGGCATACCTCTCTAAGCTGTCGCCAACATTTTCTGACATCAACGAAGCATATGAAGATATGGCGTTATACCAATATCGTACAGCCTGTCATTGGTGTTACCGGAAGTTGTTTATAACACCGGGTTAAAATTGACCTTCAGTAACCCATGCTTGTAAGGGGCGACTACCGGGATAGGGGTGGTCAGGTTCGCCGATTTCGTTGACACATGTTATCGTATCCCAACTGCATAGATCGATGCTGATGATGTTGATTACTGGATTGTCTGGTCCAGATCGCCACCATTTAGCTGGAATATAGCTAAGTGCGGCCTTGAAAAACTAACCAACTATTTATAACAGGAGTGGATACTGAATCTTGTCCAGATGTCCTTTTTCTGGCATGTCACGAACAGGTGTCATTGCAACGGCGTCCGTTTGACGACATGGAGACATTAAACATTTACATTGGAAAACATTCGGGCATGCTGGTTTATTGATATCCACCCCTTATCTTGTCCACAGTTCACTAAGATACTGTCCCAGGCATTTGCAGCGTGTGTTTAGTTCATTTGCAATAGTGATTGCTAGTGTAGGCTTTGATTCTGTGTGTACGTGCATCACATCTGTGCGATTGGATATAACCTTCAGATGCAACGCTACGCCCCCGTAACGGCATTGTAAATGGCATTCTTAAGGGTCCCGTAGCTACCATTATAAAAAAAAAGCCCGGGCTTACACGTGATTTTTGCCTAAAAGGTTGGGCAAGCCCTCAATACTATCTGAATGAAAAGTTTTGCTCCCTGTCGGGCATACACGGAAAACAAAGGCTTGCAACGCGCCTGTTCTTATAAATAGTTACCTTACTTTTTGTCGTTAGTTTATATTGATGTGATATTTGTGAACAAACGTGGCTAAATATATGTCTTTATATGCACGTCGCAATATGGCTGAAATAATGCCCACGCGACGTTAAATGTAAACTCACTCACTCACACCCCCTCACTTTACATGCACATACCTGTTAATAGAAGTGAAAGGATGTACTGGAGTCTAGTCATTGTCTTTACGTCACAGGTATTGTTCTTCACACTTGTAACAACTTCTTCACTGACAGCCGTCACCATACAACTGGAAGTGTCGTCATTGACGTCTTTCCCAATCGGTTCCGGAGGGTGTTTCTTTTCAATATTCAACAGTTCCATATTCTTTTGATCCACCGGAATGTCGTCGGGTATAGCTGTTTGAGACTCAGGGTTTTTTCAGATTCTTGTCCTTCTGTGTTTGTGTTTGTTTAACTTGCTCCTTTTTACAACGTGGATGGAAGACGAGGAAGGTGAAGGCAACCCCAGACAGGACACTGATGCCAGTGATGATGGCAAAGTAAACCTCAAATGAGAAATTAATATCTTCGTACGTAGCTGTTATGGTTGACACGGCTTCTAACGACTCCGTCGTATTGACGGTTGTATTGACGTATTCTGTAATATTGCGGCAGACAATACTACCGGCTCCTTGAGCGAGTCCTAATAACCCTGCAAGGAGACTACCGAGACCTTCTCCGCTGAAGTAGGCCACCATGTACACCGGTTTAAACGTTACCATGAAGGGAAAGAAGACGACGGTGGACGTACAGTCCACAAGAGAAACTAAAAAATTCAAACTGAACATGGCGGTGCTGTGAGGAGCTCCGGCAACAATGGTAGTTGTACTCCAGAAGAACACCATCAGAAGACACGTTAAGACTCCGATGCCAATGATGAAGAATATGACCAATTTTTCCGACAAACGGTTCGAACACAGTAAGCTATAAATAACTGGTCCAATGTTTGCAAGCTGTGTGACAACAACAATGTACGAGGGTAGATTCCACCCCTCTGGAAGCTCCTGGACCATGATGGGAAGCTCCACCCACAAACCGTTGAGGTCCACCCAGGCAGACACCCCAAATATTATCATCAAAATGTAGACGGGCACCACCACGCCGTCCCTGGTCGCCATCTTGGATTTGACCTAGACCTTGGATCTGAATATATATAAAGAACTATAATCAACACATTTACACACTGAAATCTGTAGAGATACTCCTTGAAATGCGGTAGAATTAACACTGTTATCAATGTTTGGTTCATTTGACACCCAATTATGTAAACAGGACATTTCGATACAGATCTTCTCGCCAGGAATAATCCATTCAATGTTTAGCATTGCCTCGACGTGCGAGTTAAACCAGATGTCACAGCTACAAAAACAAGATCACACATTCCAGAGAACTGTTGACAATGAACTGAGTTCAGCTAAAAAATTTGAGCTAAACACGCCTGCTGAATACAGTGTGTACAATGCAATCTGAATCAGGATATTCTCTAATTCAGCACACACAAACAAGGTAACCTCTATATTATAAGGGGCGGTGGGGTAGGCTAGTGGTTAAAGCGTTCGCTTATCACGCCGAAGATCCGGGTTCTATTCCCCACATGGATACAATGTGTGAAGCCCATTTCTGGTGTCCCCCGCCTTGATATTGCTGGAATATTGCTAAAAGCGGCGTAAAACTAAGCTCACACACTCACTCACTCTGTGTCATAAAACGTCATTCTTAATTCTTTCTGTAACAATATATATTAATCTACTTTACTGAACATTATTAGCGCGCACGCACGGACGCACGGACGCACACACTTTCATGCACCCAGTGTTGATTATGGCTCAGAGATGATTATTTACAAGCCGCCATTACATGGCTGGGATATTCCTAAGAGCATCACCAGACAACTTCACAACAAGCAGAATTATCTGTACGTGAAGGGATCGGTTTCCAGTGGAATCGTGTGATTTCACAAGCCTTTTTGTTTGGATGCTCGATGCTTAACGCAGATTCATATACGTAAAAAAGGCCTAGGGACACAACTCCATAGTGTTCAGAATGTAACTACCCGTGAAGATCCGGGCTTGAATAGGTCTTCAGCAACTCATACCAGTCTTAAGAGGTGACTAACGGGATCGGGTGGTCAGGCTCGCTGACTTGGTTAAGACATGTCATCGTATCCAAATTGTTCAGATCGATGCTCATGTTGTTGATCACTTGATTGTCTGGTCCAGACTATATTGTTAACACACAACCGCCATATAGCTAAACTATTGCTAAGTGCGGCGTTAAACAGCAAAACAAACAAAACAGTATCTAACTTATACTATCGTGGCGGCGTTGGATGGCAAGTGACGGTACTGACTAGCGTTGGCTCGTCACGCCGAAGACCCGGGTTCGATTCCCCACATGGGCACAATGTGTGAAGCCCATTTCTGGTGTCCCCCGCCGTGATATTGCTAGAATATTGCTAAAAGCGGCGTAAAACTTAACTCAGTCAGTCAGTCAGACTAGCCAGCTACCACAGTATGAAACAGGACGTCTCTAGAATGAACTACACCATCACCTATTTGATCACAATGGTTCCGAATATATCCCAGTTCGGAAACTGTCCAATCAACACTTTTTGTAAATGTTTTTATTTAAACACAAATACCTCAATATAACATATCTATTTCATTGTTACCTCTCGCACCATGTTGATACTAAGCCCTAACAAACAATGGTATGGCTGCAGGTGTTACGAAGAACTACGACCAACACCAACGAGTAACATATTTAGGACCCAATTGCATAAAGATAGGTCCGTAATAGAGGGATCTGGTTTGACACATACCTAGTTACAACTGTTGCTGGCTGTTACAGGAGGTTCAGGAACCCCATGTACAAGCTGATGGGAGACCTACGACTAACACCAACGAGTAACATATTTAGGACTCAATTGCATAAAGAAAAGCCTGTAATACAGCGATCTGGTTTGACACATACCTGGTTACAACTGTTGCTGGCTGTTACAGGAGGTTCAGGAACCCCATGTACAAGCTGATGGGAGACCTATGACTGACACCAACGAGTAACATATTTACGACTCAATTGCGTAAAGAAAAGCCTATAATACAGGGATCTGGTCACAACTGTTGCTGGCTGTCCTGTTATTGCAAGTAATGACAGTAAGCGGCAGGTTAATATAGGTGAATGTTATAGCATATAGTCCTATATAGACCTTGCACCTGTTACTGCTGCCACAGAGCTTTGTGTACAACTACTCATGTATATAGGTATACAATGCATGTTAATGATAAAAAGTATAACAAGAATGGGCATTATTTTAAAACAAACTCCTTTTTCATTTAATCAGTTTATACACGAGGAAAATGTAATAACTGGATTATTTTAGTTAGGTATGTAAGATAAATATTCTAGACATAAGCTTGTGACTGCGTGTTAGCTTGCGTTCCTGCATGTATGTATGCTTGTGCAAGGGTCTTTTTAAAATTAAATTATCAAATTGTACTGGACATACTATGACAATAAGGTCAGTTGTCTTGTCGTTTCAAAACTTTCACAAACCATCCCACTGCAATCTGGTCTCTGTTATGACAAAGCACATGTGTAATGTCATTGTATCTAACCACAACACATACTGGGTTCCCACAGGAATGAGTCGAAACTATGTGATATATGCCTCTTTAGGTCAGACCGTTTTAATGCTTGATGTACGAATCCACCAACAAAATGTAAATAAACTTTTAAATTACGAAAAGGATGTTCTCGGGTGATAATTATAAGAATGGATCACTGAAAACCTGCGATGACTCCACGTGTTTTCGAATATAATTTATTTACAGTGTTGACGTCATTTCATTAGGAACATCAATTAAAACGTGTTGAAATTATTTGATTTTGATTTTAAGAATATTTTATATTTTGTCCCAGTCATTTGATATTTAAGGTGGAAATAGTGAAATAGTATTTGTGTTTTCCGATCTGCCAGCGTGATATCTGGTACAGAAAATCCTAAGCCGAAAAACGATAGTCAGCATAGCTTTATAGCTGGTAGCTTATTGTCTGGCATGGCCAGTTGTACATAATGCACAATCATGGCTTTGGCCCTGTCATCAAGCAACAAAAAATATTTCTTCATCCTGAGATTTTTCGGTATACATGGACTTTTGCGAAATGCATTATGGCTGAAGTGGTATAGAATATGCTTGTTTTACAGTTACACTCATATTAAAAAGGACATTTATATTGATATGTAAGGGCGTATTGTTCTCCAAGACCCGCAAACCGAAACATGAGTCTCATTAACCAATTCAGATAATGACCTACTTTTCAGCCGATCCGAATTTTCTCGTGTGAAAGTGAAAAGAGACACTACAAACAACTATGGTTACACTAAATTCTAATTCCTTGTTTCATAGGAAAATGTCATTTACAAATTAATTATAATTTTAAACTTTAAAAAAATCGTATTTCTATATTTTATGGCGAGGTTTAGGCAGTATGACCTTAAATAAGACGTCACAGACTGCCCCTGTTTGATGAGGTCGTAGAATGATTCAAAATTCATCTGGCTCACCGGTTACACCTGTTATGTGTCTCTTTGCGCTAATTAAATGTATTTTTGTAACGTACAATGTGATTGACATAATATCAAGTCCGTACCAGACCGACATACTTTTCTTGTGGCCGAGCCCCGTTTTGAGATTTCCACGATTTCCAGATTTCCTTTTGTCAGAGAACGCTGAACGACAGGGCACGCTGCACGACGTGTTTGCAAGTACATTTGTTAGAAGGAGCGTAGTGTTGCAATATACAAGTGATTAGATGTATCAAATAATACTGATTAATATTTATCTATATATCAAGTTGAATGAGTTGGTCTCCAATTTCTGGACTTGTTATTGTACTAAGTTGCGCAATTGGACGGAACCCAGTCAACAGGAACCGAGACTGTTGTGTTGATCATTTCGAGGTTTATCCCACATTCAGTCCTGCCGTAACTGAAATGATATTGATATATGATAGTAAGGTCGTTATTGTTCTCCAAAACCTCCATCATTTCGAGGTTTATCTCCCATTCAGTCCTGCTGTAACTGAAATTATATTGATATATGATAGTAAGGACGTTATTGTTCTCCACGACCTCCATCATTTCGAGGTTTATCTCCCATTCAGTCCTGCTGTAACTGAAATTATATTGATATATGATAGTAAGGACGTTATTGTTCTCCAAGATCTCCATCATTTCGAGGTTTATCTCCCATTCAGTCCTGCTGTAACTGAAATTATATTGATATATGATAGTAAGGTCGTTATTGTTCTCCAAGATCTCCATCATTTCGAGGTTTATCTCCCATTCAGTCCTGCTGTAACTGAAGTACTATTTCCCATACTATTACTCCTGATGCTATTCTCTAAGACATCTTTCACTTAAGATTTACTCCCGAGGCAAGGTTACATGTCATGTGAAATATATATTTATAATACTGTTCAAGGCGGCGGAAACCAAACCCACCTTTCATGTTCATCCCACTCTGTTGTGACGAGATGTCATTTATACGAGCGGACTCGTGAAGATCCGGGTTAGAATTGGTTTTCAGCAACTCATGCTTGTCGTAGAGGCGACTAACGAGATCGGGTGGTTCGGCTCGCTCACTTGATTGATGCATGTCGTATTTCCCAATTTCCCAATTTTACAGACAGCAGTCATATGGCTGGAATGTTGCTGAGTGTGGCGTTAAACAACAAACAAATGCAAACAAAACCTTAAGCAAGCGTGACACAAACACGGGCTTAATGTGAGAGGTAGAAGTTTAACCGTTGACACACCAAAGGACAGACCCGTGAAGATCCGGGTTAGAACTGATCTTCAGTAACCCATGCTTACCTTAAGAGGCGACTAACGGGATCGGGTGGTCAAGCTCACTGGCTTGTTTGACACGTGTCATCGTATACCAGATGCGTAGATCGATGCTCATGATGTTGGGCTCTGGATTATCTGCTCCATACTCGATTATAACAGACTGCCGCCATATCGCTGGATTATCGCTGGATAAGTGCGGCGTAAACTAAACTCACTCACCAAGGGACATAAGCAGAGCCTTGGATTCGAACCCACGTTCAACGGTTCCCAGTATCAAAATGTGACGCTTTAAAACTTTTTTATACTCTGAAAGCTTAATCTGAAAAGATACGTGTACACCTGTTTCCAACACAGGAAGAATGTTGAAGGCCTTTCTGATGTTCCCGGCCTTCATGATGCTGGTATCTTAAAACAGGAGAACAATCATCCTCATTTACTTCTTCATAACACGCCAGTACGTAGATATTAGGTTGATCTCATATTCAGTATACTGATACATGTAAAATATCTGTCCGTAGGAAAGGAACTGACCCAACAATCATTCAACAATATTTATTTCACAGAATGATTCACAATGGAATATAAATGAAATCAAATCATTCATTCATGGCCGTAGGAAAGGACCAGACTAAACAATCATTAAACAGTATCTATTTCACATACTGATTCAGGGCGGTGGGGTAGCCTAATGGTTAAAGCGTCAGCTCGTGACGCTGAAGACCCGGGTTCGAATCCCCACATGGGCACAATGTGTGAAGCCCATTTCTGGTGTCCCCCCGCCGTGATATTGCTGGAATATTGCTAAAATCGGCGTAAAACCCAACTCACTCACTCACATACTGATTCACAATATCTCTCATACTCGTATCTTCCACAGTATCAAGTGCTTCAAGTCATACTGCGGAGCGAATGGTTGAATAACTGAGCGAGTGAGTATATAACGGCTTGGAACAGTATTTCAGACACAGGACAGCGTGTGAGCTTGACGAGAGAGAGGATATCCCACATCACTGCAAATGTACGGACACAGTGTTGATGAAGCTAATATCATAATCAATGCGAACCCACTGCCTTAGTCCTAATTCCTGCTCCCCTAAGGGACAGAACTCTGTGCAGGAAACTGCGGCACCTTGTTCATCAAAGTCACCCGTGCCCGTTTCATCAATCAGTGTGAATTGAAGGTCACTCCATTCTCATGTTCGCCAGTGCACCCAACACAGTAAAGAGGAGGTGTGTACTGTATATAACAAATATATTAATATCATCGAGTGTGAATATGTATAGATACCGAAATTCATTACAAATATTGTATCACGGTGAAGGATTAGATTTCATGATGGTAATACAGGCAAAACAAAACAAATGCGGTGTTATTCCCATGCAAATCAAGGGAACATGCGAGCATACACGGTATTGCATATCATGTGACCGAAATCGCGAACAAGATGAAGGCAATCCATCCTACTTGTATATAAGACGTGAGATATCGGCTAAGGATGTTTTGAATATTTCCGATGATAGTGAATTTTGGATAGAAATGAATACAAATATAACACATTTGTCCTGGATGTGGTGAAACGTGGGGGACACAGACGATGTTTGCTACAATTTAGAGTGAGTGAGTGAAAGTTGTTTATGCCGCATCCATAATTTTGCTACGATTTAGAGAACCTAAAGGTTGCACCAAGACTTCATGAATATCATCAGTTAATGTTACGTGGTCTGTTTCATGATGTTTCTGGGCGGTGAGGTAGCCTAGTGGTTAAAGCTTTCGCTCGTGACGCTGAAGACCCGGGTTCGATTACCCACATGGGTTCAATGTGTGAAGCCCATTTCTGGTGTCCCCCGCCGTGATATTGCTGGAATATTGCTTAAAGCGTCGTAGAACCATACTCACTCACTCACTCTTTCACGACTTTGACCTTTCAGATACCAGATAATTTTGTATGCGGAAGGTGACGCAGGAAGACAGTGGATATTATATTGGTAATGGGCTACAACATATGTGCTCCAACGTCCTGTAACAAATACATGCTTCCCTGTTGTTAAAATCAAGAGCAAGGGTCGACAGATTTGAAGAGATTCAAAACGTTGACGAGGACGAACATCAGGACGCCACCAATGGCAGAGCCGACTTGTGTTGCCACTCCGCAGTGAAGCAGGCCTTTCTTGCCTTCCACCCTGAAGAGCGACGCCAGTGACACCTTGACGTAGGTGAGGATGAAGATGCAGACCACCCACGCCGACACCTGGAAAACAAGGATATCATTTGTTCTGGAATATGCTGAATGAACATAGGTTTGCCTCTGGTTGTCCTCAAAGAGGGAGTTAGTGAGTTTAGTTTTACGCCACACTCAGCAATATTCCAGCTATATGGCGGTGGTCTGTAAATAATCGAGTCTGGACCAGACAATCCAGTGATCAACGTCATGAGCATCGTCTACGCAATTGGGATACCGTGACATGTGTCAATCAAGTCAGTGAGCCTGACCACCCGATCGCCTCTTACGACAAGCATTACAAACAAATTACATTAAGATGTGAAGTTTACCACTTCTGTAAGAAAACTTCACTTGATGTCGAAACACTATTGTTTACGGTACTTACAATCAAGATTGATCCAGCCAATGTTCCTACAAGAACTGGAACCGGACTCATGACAGCTGCCGCCATGATGTACGCCCCGAAAAGAGATCCCAGCAGAGTCAGAGAGGACAGCGCAGGAACGGAAGTGACATGGACGAAAAGGTCAAAGAAACAAGCTAATGGATTGGCTAGATTTGCCAGAGTTACAGCCAGATGGTACTGGGTTACACCGTAAGGTAGACAAGAGAAGGACTGAACTGCCAACAGCGCCGAATTCCTCAAACAGTTCACCCAACCTGAAATAGGACAGCTATATTTTTGGACGCAGGAACCTGTGTTGCAATATTAATCATGGATTTCCTTGATTTTGCATGCAATTATTTCAGCTTCAGTATGTAGTTTTCTTTTGTTTGTCTGCCATCTTGAATTTGAATTTGTATTATATATATATTTACGATATATGCTCGTGTACCACCAAGATGGTTTATGAGAATAAAGAATTGAATTGAATTGAGTTGAATTGAAGTAGCAAAAGCAGATATTTTCTTTTAAAAAAATATGAGTCTAATTTCTTTTTACAGGAAAAACATGTACATGTGGCAGACATATTCTTTTTACAAGAGTCAGAAGCATAATTTTCTTTCTGGGAATTATTTAGCAATGTAATCCCAGCCCTGGAGTTTGATCGTTGATTTTTACCAGGGATCAGGGCTACTTACCAACCAACGCGAGCAGGTATAATTTTCGTCCAAAACGTTTGACGTGGGTTTCCTGGTCGGGTTCCGTCGTCTGCAGCTTCTCCTGCGCAGTGAGTGGTATTGCACTTTCCTCTTCAGCATGTTCCCCATTTACACACAAGTCTTCTGGATTCTCAGTCGTCTTTAAAGGGGATAGTTTCTCCCCACTTTCTTGATTCTTGACATATTCCTTTTTGCTCATTGGATGAAAAATGAGAAAGGTAAATGATATTCCAGAAATGACAATAATCCCACTGATTATAGACATAAACAATTCAAAGGAGAAATTTTCATCCATGAAATCGGGCTTTATGGAAGATACTGATCCGTTGACGGTGACGTTGAACGTTGTGATGTTGCGGCAGACGATGCGTCCAGCGCCTTGAGCAAGGCCAATAAGTCCAGGAAAAGTCCACTAAAACCTTCCCCTATGAAGTATGCTGTGAGATAAGCTGGCTTGAAGATGGCCATGAAAGGGAAGAGAACGACGTTTGACGCACAGTCTACGAGAGACAGGATGAAATACAGACTCATCATGGCAGTGCTGTGAGGATACCCAGCAACTACTGTAGTAGCCTCCCATAAAACACCAGTAACAGACAGGCTATTGCTCCTATGGCAATAATGATGTAGATTACGACCTTCTCCGGAACGCGGTGGGCAACAACTGCGTAGAGCAAGGGTCCAATGTTTGCCAGCTGGGTTAGGACAACCATGAACGAGGGTAGATTCCAACCCTCTGGGAGCTTCTGGACCATGATGGGAAGCTCCACCCACATGCCATTGATGTCCACCCACGAAGACACCCCAAATAGAATAATGAAGATGTAGACGAGAACGTTCACACCCTTGCCACACGCCATCTTGTACCGGATTGATACTGAAGGGATGAATACGCCAAGTATGCAACCAAGTTCCCTTTCTGAAAAGAAATAACCACAATCATTATTGGTATGACATTTACCTTTGCAGATTCGGGATAGAAATGGACATCATCAACCCCTGTATGTCGAAAGAGGCATCTAAGGGGATCGGCCGGTCAGGCTCGTTGACTTGGGTGATGCTTGTCATTGTATCCCAATTGCGTAGATCGATGTTCATGATGTTGGTCACTGGATTTTCCGGTCCAGACTTCATTATTTACAGACCGTCGCCATATATCTGGACTATTGCTGAGTGCGGCTTTAAACAACATAGCAACCAACCAATCTTATTGTTCATTGTGTACGAAAACTCAGGTCTTGGTTGTTTTTCACTCTGGTATTACATAGGAGCACTGGTCTTTTCATAACTTGCTGAAAATGAGGCCACGGCTTCGAATTCTCACAAGCTGTACTAGTAGGCCTAAGGGACGCAACTCTGCATAACAGGTTGTCAGAACTGTGTGACCTTACTTTCGTGATATGTAGAGAGTTGTGAACATGACAAACCTAATTTCTTGTTTCATTGTTGGAGTTTGGAACGAGATAAAGACAAACGTTTTAATGTGCTTTAATAAAAATTGTGAACGACGAAACGAAAACTTTTCATATGATATGTTAACGCTCATGACCATACAAATATATTAATCATGGAAGACTTGAGACATTAATGAATTTTAGAACATAGTTCAGAATCAAAACCAATAAGAAATTAAGATACATGTGGTTTTTTTCCTTTTATTGTGGACCTACAGTACAAATGATAATTAAACATTGTGTTATCTATTCTTTTGCTTTTTAAAAAATACCCTGAAAAAACAACAAAAGAACTTTGGTAACATTAACAGTAAATCACAGGGTGGCATGATTGGCAAAGCTTGCGAATACAAAACGAAATATTGATATCACATTTTGGAATAAACATTTTTTCTCTTTTGTAAAATGAGGACACTTGTACATTATGCGCTCATTTATATCAACATTAGGATCTTTACAGCCCAATGTTAAGGGTGTTTACAGCCCAATATTTCATCTTTATCACCATAAACGCATTTTCGGCTTATATGTCTAATTGATTTCTAAACAAACATAAGATTCGTCTGTGTCCTTCAGATTTAATATGCAAAAGATATGTTTCGCGACAAAGTGAAGCGTTATGAGATTTATACAATGCTAAAGAATTAAAGAAAGTCGGTTCTCATATGCATACTCCTAAACACGTCCACTGCCACCGCAACTATAAAAAAAATAGTTTGACATGAAATGCATTTGGACCCGTTTTTTTGTAAATATCTCTTCATCCAATGACCCAATCGATCTCAAACTGTGCAAGTGGATGTTTTGTCAGACAACCTAATCACATTGTAAATCACCGATTTTAAGCATTTGAAGTAAAGAATCTGTCTATGTAACTGTCAACAAAATAAACAGCAGAACGCAGACGGCTTGCAGAGGGAGGGAGCCAATGACCTGTTACAGCGGCAGTGTTGGGTCATAAAGGTAAATGCACGTGCAGTTCATGATAGTTACCCGTGCACTGCACAGTGATAGACCGTTTGGATCATTCACATTGACTACTTCTAGCTGTCATCATGAAAGTTTATTCAGATGATGCTAAACGTTTAATTAGAAATGTGTTGAAATTTTTTTTAAAAGAGAGCAAACGTTGCAAACCGATTTATAAGGTGTCGGATTACATGAAACGTACAACTTTTGCTCTTGGCATGAAAAAGAACGTGCTAGAAATTGTGAAAAATAAACCAACAACCAATAAACAAAACCATGTACAAAAAGGTAGGCATTCAAAGTTAGATTCTTTGACATCAGGGTCATCAGAGGTGTCATTCGCCGGCTATTTGCTAGAAATGAACACCTGTCCACAAGAAAGTTAAAACACATCCTTGCAGAGGATCACGACATTAACGTTTCTACTCAAATTTGGATACAAGTACAAGAAGGTAGCAAACCGGAAACTTGTAATGTGTGGGAGATCTGATATTGTGAAAATAAGGTGTAACTATCTGAGAGAAATTAAGCAGGCAAGAGAGGATGGGTTCGAACCCATATATCTGGATGAGACCTGGGTCAATGCAAACCATACTGCTGCCAGACAGTGGCTATATATTTGGGATATATGGCTACAACCTTTTGGATATATTTACAAAAAAACGGATCCACATGCATTTCATGCCAAACTATACAAACCTGTTATATATGGTGATGCCTGTTTGAGATTTGACTAAGTTCACCATGTAACAACATCAATTCGGTTTCCACATCGTCTTACTAACCGCGGTTTGCAATTGTGTCTACGTAATTATCCACATATTCAAATAATTTCAGATACCTAAGATTATGTTACCAATACCCGTGAATTTGTCAACATTGTCCTCCAGAGCATGTTTTCATAGCTGATGTCGTTGTAACTGTTACTTGTGTTGGTTGTATTTACTTGGCTCAATGCCGTCAGTAGTGTTTCAACATGATACTTTAAGAACTACAGACTCGATTAAGATTACAGAAAGCGATGATAGCTTACACAGGTAAATTGTATTTTTCAAAGGATTCCATTGCATGACCTACCTGTATGCCGATGTATCGCCTGGAGTCCTGAAGGTTTACATACGACACAAGACACTAGTGTATCACATAGATGGCGTTACCTCCCTCAAGGTGGCGGTGTATCGTCGTACGTAAGGTCAATGTCAAGTTGTCCCAGTGTAAAGATAGGACGGGTTCGTGACCTTTGTAGATACACAATGTGGTTATGCATGCGGTGGGAATGTTTGTGACCTACTTAAGTTTGTACCTGCTTAGTTCAAATTTGTTGATGCTTTTGTTGTGTGTGTCGTAATTTGTTGTTGACAGGATCAAGATCTCAGACGTCAGGGATAAATATCAGATTTCCCTCTAAACACACCGATATCATATATCAACGCGTGAATAAGCAATAATTTCGCCGTAGATTTCGCTGAGGTTCTGATTCGGGATTTGTTTGACTGCCTGTTTAGGGATCCCTTTCCTTTATTTTCTGCTTCATGCATTGGCGAGTTTATACTAGATATGCAGGTACACAGTGTTTCTGACCTGTAAGTCACAATCGTAAGACTTTTCAAAATATGTAATTTTCTTGTGTATTTTGTTCTTTTTATGTTTTGTTTTTATTGCTTGTTTGTTGTTGTTGTTCTTTTTGTTATTTTTGTTGTTTTTTTGTTGCTGTTTTTCTTGGGGTAATTTTAATTTTTATAATTTACATATTTTATTATTATTATTATTTTTTTTTATTTTTTTTTATTTTATTACTATTAATTTTTTTTTGGGGGGAGGGGGGAGCGTGCGTTACCCCACAGTGTGTTCTTTCGTTTGTACTTCCATTCATGTAGGTAAAACAAGCGAATCATGACACATTTTACTCCCCTGCATGTGTAGAGCAAATAATGTGGGCATATGACGGTGGCGGTTGGGGCAGGGGTCTCACTGAGTATTTTTTTTTTAAAAAGTAAGCGCTGATATTTTGTCCCAACCTTATTTTATATTATCCCTATTGGAGATACTGCTGGGTCTCCTTCACAATTCACTTAAACAAAATAACTGAACCGATATAGCTCCTTTTTAAAAACATCCACAAATGTACTAGTATCTGAAAATTAATTGATGATTTTATTGTTTTATGGGACCATTTGGCTGTAAGCGCGCGGTGGGTCATGTTCACACCAAAGAAAGGGTGACTGAGTTTAGTTTTAGCCGTTTTTAGCGCTTTTCCAGCACGGCGGGGGACACCAGAAATGGGCTTCACACATTGTACCCTAGTCTGTCTCACAGTCCCTGAACCACATTATTTCCCCACTGTCAAGCTCTCTCTGCAGTGCTAAAGCCCTAAATAAAGCAAGTCTAGATTTCCTCAGGTTCTGAATCTCTGGTCTCCCTGGGGCTCCTTTTCAATTTAAATGGGCTTGTTTGTTACTATCAAAATTATATATATTCAGAGACTAAGCATTAGTCTAATTGTACCCATGTGGGGCTAGTAAAGCTTGTGTCGACGCCCCAGGGGTATAAAACCAGTTGGTCCCATGGAAGGGCAATTACCTTTCGCAAATATTCTCAAACAATCGGAGGAGTTTCTGAAGGGGTTTAACGACATAGAAGAAAAGTACATGGCAGCGTTGTAGCGTATCTTGCTAATTATCTACAACGAAGTAAACTCGTATGTAAACGAATATTATAGCTGTGTTTAAGAACTGTATTCACCAGAAAATGCTGAAACAACCCTCGTCTGGAAGGTGAATATTGCACGACAGGACTGGTGAACCCCCTAAAAAACCCCAAAAACAAAAAAAAAACAAGTCAGATTATCAGATTCCGTAGTTTATATAGCCTCCACTGCTGACAGAATGATCTGACAGCTGTGACTGAGTGATGTTTTGTGCTAGATTTTTGTGCTTTTTAAATGTACATTCAGTAATTAAATCTTCAATAATTTTTAGCACAATGACTTATGCTGAATGTGTACAGAGATAGTTTGGGGTATATTAAGTGAGTGACATTTGGTGCGAAACTGGAGTCGGTGTGTTCATCCTGTGTATGTATTGAGACCTTAAACCCCTACTGTGCATACATATACATGTTAACGGACTGGTTATTTAACACTATAACGTTACTATAGAAGTCTGTGGAAAAACATTTCATCATCACCATGATATTACTACTATTTGTATAGCTCCAATATCCAGCCCAGACGCGCTTTGTTCTTGGGTAACATTTGGTCTCACACACCCCACCCCCGCTTTAATGCAAACTGTGTGAAACCTGGCGTTATTTTTTATAACGACGAGAGCATTGTTTCAGTAGGTTCAAATGCTAGCATTTATGTCTGCTAGAGCTGTTTTACACCCTTATCTTCACGCTTCAGAAGCTTCCGTGTGTTGACATGCTAACAGATGTGCATATGATAAGGTCTTAAATATTAATTAACTTTGACAGGCTTTACAAGCTAATATTTATCCAACGAATCTTATCTCTGGGCACATTGAAACAGAATGGTCAATCATCATTGGGCCATAACGCATTATCACAGAGCTGGAATGGAAAGCTTTCATTCCGGACAGATTGAGTTATGTGACGAATACCTTGTGAATGTAGAATTGCTGTTTGTATCTTTGTCGCTCAAAACCGGGTTTCACAACTTTCGTATGCATCGTTGTCATTCCAAGCCCAAAGGCAGAATTGTTGTTTGTATCCTGGTGGCTCAAAGCCTGGATGTATAACTAGGGCTATGTGTAGCTGTATCTCAAAGCCCGGATGTATAACTAGGGCTATGTGTAGCTGTATCTCAAAGCCCGGATGTATAACTAGGGCTATGTGTAGCTGTATCTCAAAGCCCGGATGTATAACTGGGGCTATGTGTAGCTGTATCTCAAAGCCCGGATGTATAACTAGGGCTATGTGTAGCTGTATCTCAAAGCCCGGATGTATAACTAGGGCTATGTGTAGCTGTATCTCAAAGCCCGGATGTATAACTGGGGCTATGTGTAGCTGTATCTCAAAGCCTGGATGTATAACTGGAGCTATGTGTTGCTGTATCTCAAAGCCCGGATGTATAACTGGGGCTATGTGTAGCTGTATCTCAAAGCCCGGATGTATAACTGGGGCTATGTGTAGCTGTATCTCAAAGCCCGGATGTATAACTGGGGCTATGTGTAGCTGTATCTCAAAGCCTGGATGTATAACTGGGGTTATATGTCGTATCTCAAAGTCTGGATGTATAACTGGGGCTATGTATAGCTGTATCGCAACGCCCGGATGTATAACTGGGGTTATGTGTCGTTGTATCTCAAAGCCTGGATGTATAACTGGGGTTATATGTTGTATCTCAAAGCCTGGATGTATAACTGGGGTTTTATGTCGTATCTCAAAGCCTGGATGTGTAACTGGGGCTATGTGTAGCTGTATCTCAAAGCCCGGATGTATTACTGGGGCTATGTGTAGCTGTATCTCAAAGCCTGGATGTATAACTGGGGCTATGTGTAGCTGTATCTCAACGCCCGGATGTATAACTGGGGTTATGTGTCGTTGTATCTCAAAGCCCGGATGTATAACCAGGGCTATGTGTAGCTGTATCTCAAAGCCCGGATGTATAACTGGGGCTATGTGTAGCTGTATCTCAAAGCCTGGATGTATAACTGGGGCTATGTGTAGCTGTATCTCAAAGCCCGGATGTATAACTGGGGCTATGTGTCGTTGACTCAAAGCCTGGATGTATAACTGGGGCTATGTGTAGCTGTATCTCAAAGCCCGGATGTATAACTGGGGCTATGTGTCGTTGACTCAAAGCCCGGATGTATAACTGGGGCTATGTGTAGCTGTATCTCAAAGCTCGGATGTATAACTGGGGCTATGTGTCGTTGACTCAAAGCCCGGATGTATAACTGGGGCTATGTGTAGCTGTATCTCAAAGCTCGGATGTATAACTGGGGCTATGTGTAGCTGTATCTCAAAGCCTGGATGTATAACTGGGGCTATGTGTAGCTGTATCTCAAAGCCCGGATGTATAACTGGGGCTATGTGTCGTTGACTCAAAGCCTGGATGTATAACTGGGGCTATGTGTAGCTGTATCTCAAAGCCCGGATGTATAACTGGGGCTATGTGTAGCTGTATCTCAAAGCCTGGATGTATAACTGGAGCTATGTGTAGCTGTATCTCAAAGCCTGGATGTATAACTGGAGCTATGTGTAGCTGTATCTCAAAGCCTGGATGTATAACTGGGGCTATGTGTAGCTGTATCTCAAAGCCTGGATGTATAACTGGGGCTATGTGTCGTTGACTCAAAGCCTGGATGTATAACTGGGGCTATGTGTAGCTGTATCTCAAAGCCTGGATGTATAACTGGGGCTATGTGTCGTTGACTCAAAGCCCGGATGTATAACTGGAGCTATGTGTAGCTGTATCTCAAAGCCCGGATGTATAACTGGGGCTATGTGTAGCTGTATCTCAAAGCTCGGATGTATAACTGGGGCTATGTGTAGCTGTATCTCAAAGCCTGGATGCATAACTGGAGCTATGTGTAGCTGTATCTCAAAGTCTGGATGTATAACTGGGGCTATGTGTAGCTGTATCTCAAAGCCTGGATGTATAACTGGGGCTATGTGTCGTTGGCTCAAAGCCTGGATGTATAACTGGGGCTATGTGTAGCTGTATCTCAAAGCCCGGATGTATAACTGGGGATATGTGTAGCTGTATCTCAAAGCCAGGATGTATAACTGGGGATATGTGTAGCTGTATCTCAAAGCCTGGATGTATAACTGGGGATATGTGTCGTTGGCTCAAAGCCTGGATGTATAACTGGGGCTATGTGTAGCTGTATCTCAAAGCCTGGATGTATAACTGGGGCTATGTGTCGTTGGCTCAAAGCCTGGATGTATAACTGGGGCTATGTGTCGTTGGCTCAAAGCCTGGATGTATAACTGGGGCTATGTGTAGCTGTATCTCAAAGCCCGGATGTATAACTGGGGCTATGTGTAGCTGTATCTCAAAGCCAGGATGTATAACTGGGGATATGTGTAGCTGTATCTCAAAGCCAGGATGTATAACTGGAGCTATGTGTAGCTGTATCTCAAAGCCTGGATGTATAACTGGGGCTATGTGTAGCTGTATCTCAAAGCCTGGATGTATAACTGGGACTATGTGTAGCTGTATCTCAAAGCCTGGATGTATAACTGGGGCTATGTGTAGCTGTATCTCAAAGCCTGGATGTATAACTGGGGCTATGTGTAGCTGTATCTCAAAGCCTGGATGTATAACTGGGGCTATGTGTCGCTGTATCTCAAAGCCTGGATGAATAACTGGAGCTATGTGTAGCTGTATCTCAAAGCCCGGATGTATAACTGGGGTTATGTGTCGTTGTATCTCAAAGCCCGGATGTATAACTGGTGCTATGTGTCGTTGTATCTCAAAGAATTGTCGCTTTGTAGAATTGTAGAATAGTCGCTTTGCACCGTTGTCACTGAAAGCCCAACTATAAAATTGTCGTTTGCACTGTTGTCGTTCAAAGCCCGGATGTAGAATTTTCGCTTTGCACCGTTGTCATTGAAAGCCCAACTATAAAATTGTCGTTTGTACTGTTGTCGTTCAAAGCCTGGGTGTAGAATTGTCGCTTTGCACCATAGTCACTGAAAGCCCAACTATAAAATTATCGTTTGCACTGTTGTCGTTCAGGACTCGGATGCAGAACTGCCGTTTTTCATCATTTTTGCTCAAGTCCATGATGCAAAATCGCCGTTTGAGTCGTTTTACTCAAAGCCCGGATGTTGTATTTACGTGTGCAGTTATCAAGTTATTTAGTCTTCGACGTGATGACGGAACGCTTTAACCACTGCCCACCTCCCATAAAGCCCGGATGAAGCATAACCGTTATATGACACGTCCTCAAACATCAGATGTTGTATCACCTGCATTTGTTTTTTCTGAAACCTGTATTTTATTCGCAATGATAAATCAGAAACAATGTGGCAGAACAGAGACACCATTTGATAGTCTCAGGATGCTCAATGAAGGGAGAATATAACAAAGAAAGAAAAAACCCACTAACATAGGTACCATCTGTATATTGTATATATTGGTTATAACAGAATACAACTATTGAATACATGGACCTCGTGTATCTGAAAACCCAATGAGTCTACTGAACGGTATGCATCAGATACCTTCACGTGTCTGAAAGCTTCATGAACATGGGTAAACCATGACAAACAGATTCAAAACGTTGACGAGGATGAACATCAGGACGCCGCCGATGGCGGAGCCGACTTGTGTTGCTACTCCGCAGTGAAGCAGGCCTTTCTTGCCTTCCACCCTGAAGAGCGAAGCCAGTGACACCTTGACGTAGGTGAGGATGAAGATGCAGACCACCCACACCGACACCTGGAACAGAGGATGCTATTAAACTACAACCAGTGATATGTATTCCTAAATCACAGTTAAAGACTTGCCGGGAGATACTGTTGTTTTCACAGCAGTTCACCAGTTTGGTGGAACAGTCATGGGAACATGCGCTTTTACGGCGATTTTCAAGAATACATATATAACTCTTGTTCAAAAGATGTTTGATCAAGGTTCCAGCAATCAAAGCCTATGTAAAGGCTTCAGGGTGCCTTATTGTGAACGTAAAACACATTTGTAGATTTGAACCAACATAATGTCTGATGCAATTCCCAAATTTGAATTTTCACACACATTTCGCGAACACCTGGTATCAACTCTAGTGATTCATATACATATACATACGGCGTAATCACAATTCAACTCATCATTTAGCAGACACTTATATTATGGAGAGTTGGAGTCTTCGTTTAATGTCTTCACGCATGTGTTGTTTCGCTGTATACTCAGAATTCCCGAACTCGCTAAAACCTGACAGTTTACAGGGTTTGAGTAAATGTATTTAGTACCAAATTTAGTACCAAATCTCTATGACTGACTGACTGACTGACTGAGTTTAGTTTTGCGCCGCTTTTAGCAGTATTCCAGCAATATCACGGCGAGGGACACCAGAAATGGGCTTCACACATTGTGCCCATGTGGGAAATCGAACCCGGGTTTTTGGCGTGACGAGCCAACGCTTTAACCACTAGGCTACCCCGCCGCCCCCCAAATCTCCATGAAGTCTTTTAAAGACAATAATAGGTACTCTTACATATGTAGAAAATTGAGACAGATTACAGTAAGTCCTGTTTAGAAAGAGTCCGTAGTGTTCAAGTCAAAGTCTTACTTACCATGAGAGGTCCACCAGCATCCGTACCAATAAGAACAGGATACGGACTCATAACTGCAGCACCCATGATGTATGCCCCGAGTAGAGAGCCAATCAGAGACAGGACCAACAGCGCAGGCACGGAAGTGACGTACACAAAGAAGGCCATGAAGGAAGCCAGGGGATTGGCTACGTTAGATAGTGTGACAGTCATGTAGTACGAGCTGGTGCTGTAGGGGAGGCATGAATAGGTCTGCACCGATACCAGTACGGCGTTTGTCAAAGCATTTAGCCAGCCTGTAATATCAATGCATAAATTCTTTATCTCAACTGTATAGTGAAATACGAAATGAAGCAAATTCGAACTCGTCCACAATTGACAAAAATACTCTTATAAAACAAAAAACATATTCAGCATTTTAGAAATGCATCCCTTTCGAGGTAAAACAACACACTCAGCTTGTAACAGTGCTGTATAAAGTAAGCGCGTTTTGTGACATGAATATATTGAGGGTGTCCATCGTGTCTTATTTGAACGAAAAATACTACCATGCTGACAGTCGCCGAAACAACATATATCATATGTATATATCACCATCGAATAACGATCTCCAGTGTACCTTCTTTCAATTCATTCAGTTCATTCATTCATACACACTTTCCACTCACTCATTCTTTTCATTAGAGATTTACTTACTTACAATTCCTTCATTACTAGTTTCCGCACTTTCGATCCATTTATGTTTTTCATAAATTCAATTATCATCTGTCGGATATTTCCCCCTATTAAAACGATTGGAATTTAAGAAAATTACCCGTCAGAAGCAGTGAAGCCATGTATTGTAGTCTTGTTATTCCTTGTGAGTTCTCGGAAGAAACACTGTTGTTGTCATTTAACACGTCATAATTCTCAAGGGCAACAGGAGAGGGGTTTGATTTGCCAACATCACTGAAGGCAATCATTTCATCTTCAGAGTCGATGAGCTTAGCAATAACTTGACAATGTCCTTTCTCCTCGCTGAGTTCAACTTCATCTTTACAATAGTGAAACTCGGCCTTAATGTAACTATCATCTTTCCCTTTGATTGTGGAGGATGGACAAGCTGCATATTCCCTTTTACACCGAGGATGGTAGTTTAGGAGCGTGAACGCGATCCCTGACGTCACAATCATTCCTCCGATGAAGGCGAAGAAGACTTCAATGGAGAAGTTGTTGTCTACGTAGGTTGGTATGATTCTATAGGCTTCCTCCACAAAAGTGGTTTCATTAACTGTAACATTGTTGGTTACAGTATGATTCACACACACAACACGCCCGGCACCCTGCGCGAGTCCCATCAAGCCAGGGAGAAGTCCACTAAAGCCTTCGCCTATAAAATACGCAGTCATGTATGCAGGTTTAAATATGGCCATGAAAGGGAGAAATGCAACTGAAGAAGTCGTGTCAACAAGAGCTAGGAAGAAATTGAGACTTAACAAAGCTACGCTGCGATGAACGCCACCGATCACTGCAGTCTCTCTCCAGAAGAACACCAAGAGGACACACGCAGATGCTCCTACAGTGATGATACAGTAGATGGTGCCCTTCTCTGGAAGACGTCGTGGGCATTTGACACTGGTCAGTGTGAAGATGAGAGGCCCTAGATTAGCCAACTGGATTAAGACAACCATATACGAGGGTAGATTCCACCCCTCCGGTAGCTCCTGGACCATGATGGGAAGCTCCACCCACAAACCGTTGATGTCCACCCAGGAGGCTATTCCAAAGAGAATGACCAGGATGTATACAACAACACTGACGCGTTGACTAGACACTTTCATTGCTGGGGTTTGCACGAAGGCGTGGTATCTTCTTCAGCTGCAGCTGCAAAACCAGGAATAATGTTCATTGAAACGTAGTCCTTCAAACACACTCTGAAACAAATATAACAGTTAGAGCCAATGCAGGTTTGACATTTGGCAAGTATAAGCCAAAGTAAGTCTATGTTTTTGACAATTCTAGATAACTGCACTTGTCTCTTGGCTCATTTTCATTTAATTCCATTAAGATAATTTCAGAACTCTCATTTTCGGAAAATATATACCTACGTTTGTATATCAAAAACACCACATATTGTATATGCCTTGGAAACCAAATTCCACGCATTGAATGGTAACTGCAACATATTTTACTCCAGCTGACACAACAAGAAAACAAAACTAATTGCTCATGTTCATATGTTCAGAGACTAGATATTACTGTAACTAAATCTATGATCCGTTACATATTGCAACAAAAGCATTGTTGTGGTGCAATATTTCTCTATTTCCCTACAGAGGCTATTTCAAGAATAACTGTTTTTTGTGTTTTTTTCGAGTCATGATTGTACAGACTTGCAAACAGTTTGATAGCGATGAATAGGCAGCTGTATATGATGTAGTCGGTATAACCAGATGGACGCTGCATTCAGTATACCGCTTTACGTGATTATGGGAAGAGTAATGTCTCTGTTTTGGACGAAGATGTACTGACATTTTAAGATCTTATGCCTTTTACGACGGTTGTGATATGAGCGAAATGTTCTCAAGCACGACGTTAAACCCAATTTCACCTCACCTCACCTCACCTCACCTCACCTACGACGGTTGTGCAAGTACGTCGAATCCACTTCGGGACTATCGCCTACAGTCCGTTTGGTTTCATTTGAGACCGATGAATTGCTCACTAACACAAAATCTAATAATTGCAACATAACCAAAACGGACTGTACGTATTCTGAACGAAGCGCTGCAGACTGTGGATAAATGTGATATCGTCACTGAGTGAAGAAAAAAATGATATCACCACTGTATGAAGTGAAAGCCTTGTGAGGAAAAGAAATAATACACTATACATACCGCCTATCTGTGATAGGAAATATGACACAGAGCCGTACAATGGGGCATGCAATCAACTTTGGCCGGCTGTATGGAGGTTATCCTACATACATATGCATACTAATAGCTATGGTTGCTATGGAGGTTATCCTATAACATATGCAAACTAATAGCTATGGTTGCTATGGAGGTTATCCTACATACATATGCAAACTAATAGCTATGGTTGCTATGGAGGTTATCCTACATACATATGCATAGTAATATCAATGGTTGCTATGGAGATTATCCTACATACATATGCATACTAATAGCTATGGTTGCTATGGAGGTTATCCTACATACATAGGCATACTAATAGCTATGGTTGCTATGGACGTTATCCTACATACATAGGCATACTAGTAGCTATGGTTGCTATGGAGGTTATCCTACATACATATGCATACTAATAGCTATGGTTGCTATGGACGTTATCCTACATACATAGGCATACTAGTAGCTATGGTTGCTATGGAGGTTATCCTACATACATATGCATACTAATAGCTATGGTTGCTATGGAGGTTATCCTACATACATATGCATACTAATAGCTATGGTTGCTATGGAGGTTATCCTACATACATATGCATACTAATAGCTATGGTTGCTATGGAGGTTATCCTACATACATATGCATACTAATAGCTATGGTTGCTAATGTCGAATCAGTGAAGTCCAGTGGAAAGCATTCTTATAGAATACCCCAGAGTGGTTTATGAGTGAATATATTTTTACGATTCTCTATATACCAATGCAAGCAGAAGAACAGGGGGAGAAGTGGCAGAGAAGAGATGGTAGTGACGCCTTAAGGGAAGAGAGGAGTAGCACCACCTTAGACATAAAGTGATGACGCCTGTAATAGATGCGGAATAGAGAAACTCACCCCAGTTTCTTTGGACGTGAAATTCACACCAGTCGATAAAATTCAAACCTCCGAAGTTTCTGTCGGCGAATGCTGGTTTAGCTGATGTCGAATTCGATGCTCGAAGGTGGGATTCTATTCTATCATCCAAAAGTATTCTTCCAATCTTTCAGTCTGCAAACAGTAATAACCAGTGTCTTGATAATAAAAGGTACAGCTGCCATCTGTGGCAAAGTGATCGTGACGTCATAGTCATCGATGATTGGTTGGTTTGTTTTTTTACGCCGCAATCAGCAATATTACAGCTATATAGCGGCGGTCTGTAAATAATCGAGTATGGACCAGACAATCAAGCGATCAACAGCATGAGCATTGATCTACTCAATTGTGATACGATGACATGTGTTAACCAAGTCAGCGAGCCTGACCACCCGATTCCGTTCGTCGCCTCTTACGACAAGCATGGGTTGCTGAAGACCAATTCTAACCCGTATGTTCACGGGTATAGTCATCGATGATCTCTCAGTGACGTGAAAGGCATCTACCCTAGCGATATTTCACCTGTAAGCTAGGTTTCGATGATTAAAGTATCTACTTCAAATAAGTCGGATTATATTAAAATGTCTGACAAAAGGAAGATGCGGTCTGTTTGATTGGCTTTTTAGAAGTCGGTGAATAATAAGAAACGTAATACACTTTATGGTTGAAATTTAAAATTGGATTCGACCAAAAACCTCATAAACGTTTTCAAAGCGTCCTAAGGTCCACATCCAAATGATACAATTTCAAATCCAAACCATCGAACATTCATTTCTTGTCTGTTTCGTTTCAACTACCATGAAACACGAGTCGGCATTTACTTTTCACATTAGACCCATTTTCAGGTTTTAGTCGTTCACTACAGCTGGTCGAAATATAAAACTAATGCGAAAAAAAATGTGTTCCATAACATGTTCATTGTATGCGCAGCATGTTGCACACTTATCTGACTTCAGCCAGATTTAACTTTGACATGATACATACACATAACAGATATAGATAGATTTATATCCAAGTCGTATAACTACAAAGTAAAACATTAACAGCAACTGACTTCCTGCTACATTTACATAGTCCAATCTGTCTGTGAAACATACCTTCCAATTACACTTTTTTGCAGTGAAAGTCCAAGTATGAAATCGGCGGTATTTCCCATACACAGCTCACAGTGGCGTTTTCGCTCTTATATCGGGTTTAAATACCATCCTAAAATCAGCTCCGTGAATACGATGATTTATCGTATGAAAGTCCGCTGGTTGTAATCTCTTTGATATCCGATAAAGCATTTATTTCACACAGAGATGAGCAACAGCTGTGGATGATATACCTATATACGCCTTCTATTCATTCCAGCCCCTTGATCAGTATCAGCATCCACGTAGATGTGACTGCAATCGTGTATGAACTATCACTAGCAATACACTTTATGTGTCTAGCTACAATACACACCTTTATGGTATCAAAGATGCTATTTCAAAGTCTTTTTGTATTTGTCTCCAATTGTTTCCCTGTGTACATATTTCTCGCCCCATAATTTGACAATGTGCTCATTAAAACAGTAAGAAAAACTCTCGGCAATAGCTGTAAATTTCTAAAATTGTGAGAAGTATTTGTTTCTTGCTATAGTTGTACCAGAATCATGAACGAATAGGAAAAGAATCGGTAGTGAAGTGCGACAGTACATATTGTGACGACCAACGACCTTCAGGGGGATTAAAGTAAGATAGGAAATGTCATATTTGACGATTTTGGATCAGTAGTGTGTGATACTGTGACGTTTTGTCAAAGATTCCTTCTCTCGACGAGACATACTTCATCTGAATCTCTGACAATTTGAGCCTTTCTAACTCCTCTTTCAGAGCCTGTCCAAGTTCATCCATCGTAAGACGTTGACCCAATGGTCATATGATCAGCACATGTCCAGTAACTCTTCGTTAACAATACGGAGAATTACCGATAGGACTTTCATTTCGAAGTACCTACATACAACCAGGCCTGTCCAGGTAGTGCATAGTAAGTCGGTACTTGTCTGACAATACAGGAATCAGGTGACCGGTGACAAATACCCGAATTCCGTGGTGCACACAGCTGACGTCAGTGGGCAAGGAATGTTCTGTGAATGGATTCACAATGCGAGACAAGCTAGCATGAGATAAGGGGCACGTAGGCATTTTCTAACCGTAACTCGTACTCCAGTAGCCAGATGAAGGTTTGCACCAACTTCATTCAACAGTAGATCAGTAGATTAACATGTAGTCTGCAAAACGCAGACTGAAACATAAAGCATGTTGGCTAGTTCACGCTGACGTCTGCCAGTTTCCAGTACGCAAATGACCAGTCGGCGTTCCGCGTCTTGCAGACTCCGCACGCGAGTTCAAAGTGTATGAAATCAAGTGAATCACAACTCTGTGAAAGCAGAATCAACATACCTGACAGAAACATTGTGCCACATACGTTAATCGGGCTTCCTTGAAAGTGTCAGGAAAGTCAGGAATGACACCATACGCACATGTGAGGCGCTACTGTGTTCAACACGTGCAGTTTGTGTTTTGGTGTTAAGTTTTGCAGACATAAAGATTCATGTCTAGGCTGCTTATCATCAATACTTATCTTTATTCCAACACTTGTTAATAACATTTATATTTCATGATTCCCAAATATTTATCAGGGTATTCATATATTTATTATCTTGTTTTGAGCGAAAATTAAATGATGTTTAATGCCCCTATCAAGTAATCCTGGGCTATAGCCGCGACCTGAAGATAATTTGGCCAAGGTCAGACAAACCCGTCCTTATCGGCATCCAGTAACTACCCACACGCCCGGGATACAACTGTCCCCATTGTGTCAGACAAAACCTTGAGACAGGTCGATCTTAATGTTCGTCAATGTGAACTAGGGAAGTAACAATTCTTTTTTCGTATGTGCTCTTTTCAACAGTAAGTGATGCTCAGTTGTACAAATATTGTTTGAAAAATTAATAAGAAAATAGCGGCACTCATCAACTTTAATGTAGTTTACAAAAAAGCGGTACATTATGTTGTTTTTTGCGACAACGAGAGGAATATGGTATTTTAAAGGTAAATCAGGTTATTGCTGTTTGTACGTCCCTAAAAATTCAAATGATTGCTCCATAATCATAAACGCAATATTGCAGCTTTGTGGCGGCGGTCTGTAAATAATCGGGTCTGGACCAGACAATCCAGTGATTAACAGCATGAGCATTGATCTACGCAATTGGGAACCGATGACTGACCACCCGATCCCGTTAGTTGTTTATTACGACAAGCATTGGTAAATGAAGACCAATAATAACCAAGTCAGCGAGCCTGACCACCCGATCCGGTTAGTCGCCTCTTACGACAAGCATTGGTTGCTGAAGACCAATTCTAACCCGGGCATTCACGGGTGTTACGACTAGCAGCCAAAGCGAAAGTGGCCATATATAAACGCAACATGCTTAGGCTTATGACATATTTTAAACACTGACGCATAAAGATTACTCACCTTCGAGTTGTTTCTTTTTAAAATGACCTGCTTGTACATTAGATACTGCCATAAGTAATTCCAGTCTGAGTGACCAACAGCTGGCACAGTGTTGAATCACTTAAAGCGCTTAGCAGAAGGCCAAGGTGTCAAGAGCTATGTCAAACAGGGACTGTTGGTTTAGGTTAATACACTTGATCTCAACTCCACACTGTTTGTTTGTCTCGCCTATGTACACTGTTGCTAAATTATGGGTAGGTTCAAATGTGATGTACTAATTCCATAACAGAAACGAAACGTTAGCTCCTTATCAGACTCGTTTGAGTACACGTGACTTGTGTCTTGTTACATTTGTTCGTCCCAGTGTGTATCTATATGTGAGTGTGTCCAGTGTGTATCTATATGTGAGTGGGTGTGTAGGTGCACACGCGTCTTTGTGAGTTTATGTGTATGGGTTGGACTAACATCTATTCTCTGAAATGAACATATCATACAGAGAGAAAATAATAATCATAAGATATAATGAAAAAGGACACAAAGACTTTCTTCGTTTTCAGAAACTGTGGTAATCTAGATTTGCCACATTTTCTAGACTTGCATGGCTCTTCCTTGGATATATTTGTTTCAGGGTCTGTGTGACAGACTATGTGCCAGTGTAGACAGTGCCGTGTACTAATTTAAAGCACACTGTTCTCACATGTGTCTTATGATATTACATATATACGGGAATTATATCTTTTATCAACGAGTGTTCATATAGTTGACATCACGAGGCACGGGGAGACATTCTTTATATCACCCATCTGTGAAAAGTGACAGTCATTGTCTAGAGTGTCTAACTAGCTTCAGCAGTAGAGAGGTTAGTGGTGACATTAGACTGTGACGTCATGGAAATAATGATGGCATAATAATCTTCAAAACAATTTGAACGTACAGCGTTTGCAGTAATTCCATTGATCCCAACAAATACATATCTCCCGAGGAGTGAGTGAGTATGGTTTTACACCGCTTTAGCAATACTCCAGCAAGAGCACGGCGAGGGACACCAGAAATGGGCTTCATACACTGTACCCATGTGGGGAATCGAACCCAGGCTTTCGGCGTGACGAGCCAACGCTTTAAGCACTAGGCTACCCCACCGCCCCATCTCCCGAGGATGTAGATTTGAGCTGATGGGTTGAATTTACATCAAGAAATAAGTTGAAATCTTTATCTTGAATATTTAACTAATGTTTAAATGCTGATGTTGAAGATACTGATTTGTTAATTTTGTATTCATGTACGTTTTATTTGCGATGGATCATCGAGACATTATTCAAGCATATAAACAGATAAGAATAGGTCGTATTTTAAACTTTCAAGAGTGCACTTCAGTTGCATCGGGAATACACCAATTTTACCAACATTGACTGCTTCCTGTCATGTATTGCAGTGGTTACACCACTGTCTGTCCTGAAGCGTGTGTTTTGAAAATGTTCTTCGACGGTTAATCACGATGTCACCACCCTACGACCTAATAACGCGTGATGGTATAGGTTCAGGTTTCACGCCTACGTACGGTCATACCCCACTTTGCCGGACAGCTGATGTCATGATAACAGATTAAGAGTAACTGTCCGCTAGTTTGCCGGCTATAGTCTGTTTTCAGTGAGGAGTTATCACCCATAGTCTCATTTAGGGGACATGAGCGTTTGACAGAGTTCAAACTCAATAATTACAAGGGTGTTTCGGGTGCACTCGATTTCTAGTAACTAATTTGAGTGAACTCGAATTATATCAGCTAAATTGAGTGAAACGTATTCAAATGATTATTTCTGCCATTGTGCCTGTATATAAAGAATGTAGACATGGTTCCCTCATTGCAAAATTCAGTTCATTCCAAATTCAAGGGGATCTTGTCTCAGACCTAGTTGGTGTCCCTGTGTTGGAATAATTATTATTTATGTATTATTTATGAACAAAAATCTTTATGTATATTTATGAAAACATATTTATTTATTTATTTTAGTGTCTTCAGTTACCATTTTCTGAAAATGTACGAAATGTGTATTTATGAATTTAATCATGAAGAGAAATTACACAAAAAATGTTGAATTGCTGAAATGAAAAAATCGAGATGAAGTAATAGGGTGTACATATAGCCAAAACAGACTATAAGTTAATCCCCTCTTGTTTAAGGGATTATCGCGCATCAGCGGATTTTTTGCGTGAGGCAAAACGGGAACACCCCCTAAGGACCTAGGTGATCCGTTAATAATGACGCTGAGTATACTTACATTAACGTTATATAAGTTGCAAGCTTTGTCAACACTTACTCTCTTTACCTTCATCTCGCCATGTTGTCTTTCCGCTCTGCCACATTGTGTGAGACTCCGATCGTATTGTCATAGCAACTGATTCATGACAGATCATGTATCTTGATACACATTAAATTTCAAAGTCTTAAAACTACGTAGTCAAGACATGAAGAACTTATTTGAAGTTTTACTTGAATAACGCTAATTTCCATGATTAATACTCAACACCACTGCATTGTATATCGACTTATCAGCCCACTGATCCACTCTATCACGTTCATTAATTACTGCTATTTATATTAAGAGATATATAACCTTAATTGGTTGTCTCCTTTGCCTTGACCCGTGAAGATCCGGGGTAGAACTGATCTTCAGTAACCCATGCTTTATGTAAGAGGCGAATAACGTGATGGGATGGTCAGGCTCGCTGACTTGGTTGTCATCGTATCTCAATTGCATGGTCATGCTGCTGATCACTGGATCATCTGGTCGATACTCGATTTACAGACCGCCGCTATATAGCTGGAATATTGCTGAGTGCGGCGTAAAACTAAATTCACTCACTAATTTGCCTTGTCTGTCATCAATAAGTCTAAGACAACCCACTGTCTTTATCTGTCTATTGTTGTCTTTAACTGTAAACATAATTCTTATATACAGCTGACTGAGCATGATGCGCAGGTCTTTTGAAACTGAGACTGACTGACTGAGTTTGGTTTTACGCCGCTTTTAGCAATATTCCAGCAACATCACGGCGGGGGACACCAGAAATTGGCTTCACACATTGTGCCCATGTGGGGATTCGAACCCGGGTCTTCGGCATGACGAGCCAACGCTTTAACCATTAGGCTACCCCACCGCCCCTTGAAACTGAGACTGAACTGGAACTCATATATTGTATAACCAACTAAAAAGGTTTTTACTCACGCTATTTCTTCGGTTTGAACTAATTCCCACATTGAGAAGTCCGCACTGACAGTATATATGTCGATGTGCTACATACGACGAGGACATAGAAACGCATATGGACATAAGGCTGTATTCTCTTTGACGAGATCTACGGAAATATATGCATATATGGAAATCCTTATGTCATATCATTCAAACGTAAGCGATGAAATGATGAGATCCGATACACCTGATAACAAAATCCGGTTCTATGTGTCATTGTTATGCCAGTCGTGTATGAAAGGATTATATATTGAAGAGAATTAGAAACTTGACATCCGCATGGTGGTAATAAGTATAAGAGGTGTGAGGAGGTAATTCAGTTTTGTTTGCGGTGCCACACACGCTGCAATCACATGGATGCTGTTTGAACATCGTCCTGGTAACCGTCGTGACAGATTGTCATAAAGCGTGAAGTATGCATGAACAACAATCACGTGTAGCGAGTCATGTGATCACCTTAGCGATCGCACGTGCATTGAAATGTGAGCAAACAGACATTGTTAAACTGGAAAACAATTATAAAAGGCAAGTTTAATACAAAAGCGAGTGTTGAGATCAGCAAGGTGAGAGTGACATGGCTTGGCGTAGTGGAGGACAATCAGTGCCATTGCAGCAGTTGCATGGGCCTTGGTAGGTAGGTGTGTGTGTGTGTGTGTGTGGTTTAAACGTATTTTATTCCTAGAGAATCTGGTTTGGTAAACAAGCAGAACTCTGCTTATATCAATACCTCACCAGTACATATATCATTTAAACATATACACAAGAACTGGATACAAAAACCGACAAATTAAATCATATATGTGCGTTGTAGGTGCTTATAGACATTGAGCTTGCAGCTACACTTCATTAATTGATTGCATATAATTGTTAGTATAATTTGTCAAATCGTTTAGACTTATAGATGTATTGATGCAGGGACTATATTATATTCTTATTGACGTTATTGTTTGCCGGAGGTATTCCGTATAACACAGTTTGGAGATTGTGGCCATTTACATAGAAGTAGGTATTATTTCTAATAGCAGTGTATAACTTACATGTAAAAAGATAATGAACAGTATCTTCATTGTGGTATCCACAAGCGCATCCAGGGTTGTTAGAAATGTGTCTATTTACTTTATCCGCATTCAAATCACTACAGCCGAGCTTAAGTCGACAGTGTACGATCTGACAGAATCGACTGCCATAATTGAGATCTAGATAATTATTTGATTCATCATTTTTAAGCAGAGATTTGAATTCACCGATTGAGTTAGCGAATACTAAATTATCAGGTAATGAATTCCAAATTTTAATTGTGTCAGGTAGGAACGACTTTTCATATATTTTAGTCCTACAATTTATTGTTTGTAACTTAAATTTATTACGGAGATTATATTGACTGTTTTCGGAGACAAAGTTAGGGACAAGGTCACAGAGGTAGTCAGGTGCGAGATCGTTATTCATCTTGTAAAAATGTATTAGTTTAATGTCGCGCCTCCTTTCTTTTAACGGTTTAGACTTTGTTTCGATATATAACCTATGATGACTAGTGCCACGAACTGCGCCGCATGTTGTACGAAGTGCATCTAGATGTAACCGTTCAAGAATAAGACACTGATCATTTGTACAATTATCCCAGATATGACAACAATAGTCAAATATCGGCATCACAAACGATTTGTACATGGTTTCTAGCGTTTTTCTGGAGAGGCGATATTTAAACCTTCGAAGACAATTTATCATGGGGCTAATTTTCTTAACAATATCTTCAATATGAGTTTTCCATCCACAATCACTCTGTAGAGTTATACCCAGGTGTTTATGACTTCCCACTTCTCGTATTAGGGTTTGGTTCATGTTCAAGGTCGGAATCGTGTCGTTTTTATGTTTACGAGAGAAATTGATTGTTTCGGTTTTATCAGGGTTGAAGGTAACTTGCCACTTGTCTGCCCAGCTAGAGATACGGTTTAAATCATCGTTCAGGCAGGATGCGGCAGTATCGTGATCATCTACAATTACGTAAAGTGAGGTGTCGTCAGCAAATAAACGTATGTGGCTTTTTATACCATCTACTAAATCATTTATGTATACAATAAAAAGTAAGGGTCCCAATACGGAACCTTGTGGGACGCCAGCAAGTACAGGTTTATAATCGGAACTGTATCCATTAATGACGACTTTTTGTGATCTGTTTTGTAAATAACTTTCAAACCAATTCAAAAGTGATCCACCAGTGCCATAGCTTTTAAGTTTAGAAATGATGCCCTTGTGCCATACCTTATCAAATGCCTTACTAATGTCACAAAAAACAGCTCTGACCTCTTTACCTTCATCAAGTCCTTTCGCTATGAAATCATACAAATAAGTTAACTGGTTAGCGGTAGAGTCACCTGGCATAAAACCCGATTGTAAATTGGTTAAAATATCATTGTCTCTAAAGAAATTAAATACATGTTTAAAAACACATTTTTCTAAAACTTTAGACAAACAGCTCGTAAGTGCGACCGGTCTGTAATTGGAACATTCATTTACACTATTTTTTTTATGGAGGGGCATGACTGACGCTTCCTTCCAGACGGCTGGAAAAGTGAATTTTTGAAGAGACATATTAAATAGTTTTGTTAATAGAGGAGCTAAACTTTTCGCCATGGTTTTCAGAAATCTATTTCCTATTCCATCTGGTCCTGTAGCTTTTGATGGATCGAGAGAGAAGAGAATATCTTGAACTTCATCAAGTGTAAGATTGACTACATTTAGTGAGTCTGTAGTAAGTTCAAAATTACATTGGGGAGGTCGTAAATCTGAATTTTCTATTGTAGACTGACTCACAAAGAAATCATTCAAAACATTTGCAATGTCTACGGGGTCGTCGTAGATAATGTCATTTGATATGATTGGTGGAAAGTAGTTACTTTCAGACTTTTTGTTAATATATTGTTTTACCAAACGCCACGATGTTTTTGTACCCACCGAGGAATTTATCCTATCATCAATTTTGGAATCACATTTTCTTTTGGAAACGCGTATTAAGTTGACAACTTTGTTTCTGACTAATCGGAAATTAGCCCAGTCGGAACGACTGTTTCGATTTTTAGCTTTTTTATGAAAACGATTTCGCTTCCGTATTGCAGAACGGATTTCGCTATTCATCCATACGGGATCTTTAGCTCTAACATTGACCAGTCTGTTTGGTGTACTGATGTTTAATATGTACTTTATCTTTTCCGTTAGGATTTCCACTGCAGTGTCAATGTTACCAGAGGAAAATATTTCTTTTTGATCAATTTCGTTAAGATGTCTTTGAACACACTCTTTATCCATAGATTTAAAATCGTACACAAGTCTTTTAATAACAACATCAGTTTTGGAAATTTTATCTTTTACCGTTACGAAAATTGGACAATGATCACTGCATATAGGATCGAGTACGCCTGAGCTAAGCACGCTATTTTCATGGGTAACAAAAATCAAATCAAGCCCAGTGCTAGAGCTATGCGTAATTCGTGTTGGTGCATTTATGATCTGGTGTATCCCACACAAACGTTTTAGCGTTTCAATTTTAATGTTGCTTTCATTTTGAATATCTATATTAAAGTCACCGGCAATAACAGTGAACATGTTTAAATCAATCGCCATATCAATTGATTGAACAATCAAATCCCAGTATTGTTCACTTTTGTCCGCGCGGTAAAATGAACCAAAGAGATAATTTCTAGCTTTGCATTTAATTTTTACCCATAACGCTTCAAGACCCGCAATGTCTAAAGCTTCCATACTCTCTACACATAAGTATTCTTTGTCATAAATGGTCACGCCGCCGCCTCGTGTTAAACGGTCTTTTCTAAATGGAATGTGAAAACCTGGAATTAGTATATCATTGCTATTAATATTATCATTCAGCCAGGTTTCTGTTAAACATATCACATCAAAGTCTAAAAATTCTGCATGAATGATGTCAATTTTATCTTGAAGACTTCTGACATTGAGATGTATTATCTCTAGGTTTCTATCATTATTTGGTCCCGGGTTTGGGTGAATAAAAGGATGGTGATAAATATGGAAATAGACGGTTGATACAAGCATCTAAAGTTAAAATAAAATATATAGACCTGAAGATTATATGCATTTTTGCATGAAGTGTAACTGCAAAGCATCCCACTGCCTGCCTGTACTGCGTTATGTCAACAGACATGTAACATATGTATCTAGAAAAGATTTAGAAAAGCCGACAGTGGGATCACATTGTGAAACCAAAAGGTCATCAAGCACACGTGCACCCGAAATAAGATAATTGTGAAAATGTTTTGTTGAAAATTGGTCATGTTTTTCAAAGAAAGCTTTTACAAAATAAACACAAAAAGAAAGAAAAAATAATAAAATGATAATACTCATTGAGTTTTTAAAAACAAAAAGGAGAAGAAGCCCCACGGGTTTAAATTACCAAATAAGTAAATCAATTAATTCAGGACCAGTCATTGAAAGAGGACATAAATATAAAAATAAGGAATCAAAATTACATCAAGTCTAGCTCAGTCACTACTGAAACACGCGTGTCATGAAAGACACCTTCTGCACGTGCGTTGCCTTCACATTCCTAACAGGTTGTGACAGGTGTTTGAGCAATGGATAGTTGGATACCCCAACTTGTGATGCAAAGAATACTGTAAGTATTCGTTTTATAACAAGAAGTTTGTCATTTATGTGAATGATAGCAAGCAAACATGTCAATTTAGATAGATGACCCAAACTTGATTTAAGATAATAATCTGTTAATGAGAATTGCCTTAAGCTGTGTGAGATACTGTTTACTTTAAAATCAAACCGGTATTCTAGTCCTGTTTATGACTAAAACTGAATTGTAGCAATATCACGGGTGCCACCAGGCTGATCATCTTTGTCTGAATGTTGTAACAAAAATATGATATAGCAAGCACATTTCAAGGGCAATATTACACTCTGTGTGGAACATAACGATAAGCAAAAACAAGCATGTACAATGCTTTCAGGGAAACTATCAACTCTTCGTGTAATATATTAATCTAAATAAATATAAACTACATTCGGGGAAATT